GTGATGAGTGTTCTGAATCGGGTCTTACTCTCCAGAATTAGTATTAAAACGGGTGCATTACGCAATTTGTTTTATTATTTGGTCACAGCTGGAGACATGGGCATGACACGGTCTGACGTGGCAGTTTCTAAAAGGTCCAGTCAGTGTTTCTAGAAGCACGAATGGATTGGTCGCACGTTTCTGGAATTCAGATTTGAAATAAAATCAAGTTTAGGATAATATTTTAAACATTTTATTTTATCTTTGTATTTTAGTTTAAATAGATGTTAGTATTTCAATTAGGATTTAGGATATTATTTTAAATATTATATTATATTATTTTTGTTTTAGGTATTTTAGTTTAAATAGTTTTAAGTATTTTAATTAGGATAAAAGATATTATTTTAGGAATTATCTTTAGCTTGTTTTTAGGAATTTGAAGGTTATAAATACCCTCTCATGGTAAGCCTAGAACACACACATCTGAGAATAAAATCTCCTTTTTCTATCTAGCTTTCTCTCTATTTTTCACACACTTCTTTAATTTATTTTAAATTTTGTTTTCAACAATTATGCTAAGTATGACTTTGGTCATGCTTAGCTAATTTTCTTTTAAGCCGAAGGCTAAAACGAAAGCTCAATTCCAAACGTGAGAATTGTAAGGCACCTAAATCACTTCGGAATTTTCTCTCTGTTTTTTAGCTTACTTTTCAAATTGAAACGATTTTGACTTTGGTTTGGATGTTGTTATGGTTAACGTTTGAAGAAGGATTTGCTTATTGAAACACATTCGACTTTCTGAGAACACACTTAACAAAATTGTTTGCTAAAAGGAAACTGAGATTGGAACCAGTTATTGTTGAAACAGCATAATCTGAGTCGGTAGCAAAGAATTGTCCTTGTAAGCCGACATGAATTTTGAAGTAAAGATTTGTTTTGATGATCCGAGGAATTTGAGGCAAAGTTTAAGTCTGAGGCTGCTTTCATTATAAATTTCTCTTTATCTCAATCTCTTTAGATTATTTATTTAATTATTTTCTTTTATTTAATTCTTATCTTTCATTTTAAAAACAACTTTTAAAAACCCATTTTTTTATCTTTAGTACTATTATTTATTATTTTATTATATTTCACTTTTATTTATTATTATTTTATTTTGTTTTATTTTTATTTTCTCTTTTAACATTTTTTATATTTTATTATTTTTCTTTTCTGAAATTTAATATTTTCTTCATTTATTTTATTTTTTCTTTTAATATTTTTTATATAACATTTTTTAAAATTTCATATTTCCTTCTTTGATTTATTTTTTTAATTTAATTTTTATTTGATATTTCTTTTATTTTATAATCTAACGTTTTCAACTTTTTAGAGGTAATTTCAATCGATCAAAGGTAAGTAATTCAAATCGAGTTTTTAAATTTTAATTTTCGCATTATGACAACCGACAAATTAAAATGATACCGAAAGGGCAGTTCAATGGTGTTAATCATTCATTGACTGTAACCAACTCCCGAATCTGACATATTTCTGGTAAAATGCGATCATGTAAGATGGTCTTCGATCAACCTAAATATTTTTTAAATGATCGGTGGTGACTAACGTGTTTTATTTAAGTCGAAATCCAATTCTGGGTCCACCCGAAAGATGACCGCGACATTGAGAATGATGAAACTGGAAATAATTTTTCCTTGACAAATACAACTGATTCTGTGGCTATTAAAACTAGAACCTTAATTGATGTGTATGAGAGGTGCAATTTCATCTTTGTTGAACTAGTCAATTTCAGTGAAGCTTCAAAGGAACCAGAATGGATTGATGCAGTGAAGGTAAAAGTTGTTGTAATTGAAAAAAATGATACATGGTTCTTGATTGATTGACCTATTGACAAGAATGTTATAGGCGTGAAGTGGGTGTACAAGATCTAGTTCAATCCTGATGGGACTGTGTTCAAGCAAAGGCAAGGTTTGTGGTAAAATGGTATACACAAATAGGTGGAGTTGATTATGGTGACACGTTTGCACCTAATTACAAACTCGACACCATCAAACTGCTCATTGCTATAGTTGGTCAGATGAGATGAAATGTATTCCATTTGGATGTAAAGTCTGCTTTTATAAATGGAGAGCTTGAAGAAGGCATATATGTGAGTCAACCTGAAGCTTTTGTAGTTACTAGAAAGGATCATCAAGTGTACAAGCTCAAGAAAGCTCTTTATGGCCTGAAACAGACATCAAGAGCCTCGTATTGTAGAATTGATTCATATTTTTAGAAATTGGGATTTCAAATGAGCACCAATGAAGTTACTTTTTATCTTAAGAAAAGTCAGAATGTTGATTGCTTGTTGTTTCTCTTTATGTTAATGGTATGTTGGTAATGGGAAGCAATGTTGAAGATTGATGAGTTAATTTCTCAGCATGGAAAAAAAATAAAAATGAGGCTGGTATCTTTATTTCAGAGAAGAAATATGCCTTGGACGTTCTAATGAAATTCAAGTTGGAATCATACAAAGGAGTTGATTCACCATTGCCTCTTAACTTGAAGCTGTCAAAGAATGATCGTGAGAAGCTTGAGGATCCTTCCACTTTTAGAAGCTTAGTTGGAAGTTTGCTTTATTTGGCAGCAACAAGACCAAATTTAATGTTCTCTGTAACTTTCTATCTAGATTCCCGAGTTCACCAACTGATGTTCATTTGGGTGTTGCTAAGAGAATTCTCATGTATGTGAAAAGCACAATGCGTGAGGTGCTGAATTATTTGAAGACTGGTAATGTATTGTTGAATGGATACTCTAACAATGACTGGGTTGAAAATTTGGATGATATGAAGAGTACATTTGGATATGTTTTTAATCTTGGTTCAGGTGCAATCTGTTGACGTTAAAAAAACAAGTTGTGGCTCAATCAACAGTTGAAGTTGAATACATTGTTGTTGTTGTTACTGCTGCTACAACAAATCAAGAAATTTGGTTATGAAATTTGCTTTCTGATCTTGGATTTGAGCAAGAAGGTGCTACTGGTCTACCTTATGACAATAAGTATGCCATATATTGCTGAAAACCCAATTTAGCATGGTAGAACAAAGCACATCAATGTAAAGTTCCATGTAATTCGTGAAGCTGGAAGAATTTGCAGATTAAGTTGAAATTTTTGTTCTTTAGAAGTATTGGTTGTTGATTTGATGATAAATGTTTTTTTTTCAAGAAATAGAATTTCTTTTCTCAAACATGAGCTTGGAATGTCCAATATCAACCTTAAGGTGGAGTGTTAGAGTATTGAGTCTCTTATTGAAAATTAGATATGTTTTGTATGACAGCTGTAATGTTGTTTATTGGCTATTTTTTTAGTCTATTTTAAGTGTTATTTTTACTCTTATTTAGATGTTTTACTTTGTAATCATGTTTAAAATCAGTTGTAATGTTGTTCAACATTTACATGCAACAAATCAGCTCGTTGATACTCTTACAATGTCTCTACCTTGGCCGTCATTTCATTATCATCTTGTCAAGTTGAAAGTTGTTACACTACCATCAGTTTGACGGGTATATTAAAACGTCAACAACTCTCAATATCTAGCAGCAGTTGTTTCATTTATTTAGGATAAGATTTTATTTTTAATTTAAATAAGTTTGATTTAATAAAATTGTTTAGAGAGTTCTCCATCTATATAAAAAAAATGTTAATTTCTTATTGTATTTAAACCATGCTTCGTTCTCAATAACACATTAAGTCTTTTCGTCATTTTCCGTTTTCAATAATACATTAAGTCTTCATCATTTTCCATTAGTGATCTTTTAATTAGTCTAGAAATTTTTTAAAAGGATTATGATTATAATTGAGTTTAGTCGATTATAAAATGTAAAAAAAAATTAAAATTTAACTTGAGATTTAAAATTTAAAGTTTGATTCTCAAAACTCAAACCATTTTGATTCACTCAATTAAACTCGATCAAATTTATTTATCTAATAATATAAGTAAACTCGATTTTCTTAATTATTCGATTATTCATATTAAAATTCATTTTTCCATTTACATAAAAAAACTTACGAATGAATAGAGTGGATACAATCGAGTTGCACCCTGAGTTGTCTGGACTAAGATCGTAAATTGAGACATACACATCGCAAGTTATTTGTGTTCGACTTGATCAATACTCGAATCAAAATAGATTCAACATAAGTTTTTAATGAGTCGAAACGAACTACTTGATACTCGATTGAAAAAAAAAATGTGATTAACTTGAAAAAATAATATACTAAAATTTTAAATTAAATTATTAATAATATTAACATTTATATAATTTTATATAAAAATATAATATAAAATTTGTATGTACTTAATATTCAAATTCACGTTTAAGTTCGAGTTTTATTCAAATTAAGTCGTACAAATTTTTTTGAGTTCTCGTCGAACTTTAAATTTTGATTTTGAATTTGATTCTAGATAATTTTAGTTCTCCAACTTTAAGTTAAATCGAGTATAACTTTAATATTTTTTAATGGAATGGAGTTCGATAATATTAGAGCCTAGACTCGGCTGTACTAAGAGAGATTCAGTGCACGGAAGGATCGTTTGGGCAGTGGAGTGGGCCCCATTGAGTTTAACATTTGACCTTGCAAATCACATTCAGTGTACGAAGCCAGATTGTCCTTTGAAGAAGTCTCCAATGTTCTTATCTCCAACCGATTCCCCATTGTTTAATCTCACCATTTATCCAGAAGTAATCCAACTGCATTTCCCATTTCTTTTTGGCCACATGAGCTAAGTGTACAGACAAACAGCCTGAGCCAAGTGTACCTTCCAGAGATGAAACCAAGCTTTGGTGAGGACACGAGCAAGCTAGTCCCCCATGCCATGTATCATCCCAAACCCTGCTCATGACACGTTTCGGCCCTAGTTTAATCACCTCTCCCTCATTTGTGCTCTTATCTCCCTTCTTTCTCTGACTATAGATACCACTTCACCCAATGTGCTTATCAGTTATCAGTCAGCTTTCTTTATTGGTCGGGAACAATGTGAATGATGGGTGGTTTTGGACCTGAGAGTAAACAGGTGAGGAAGCCTGCACAAGTGAGCTCGAGAAAAGGTTGTATTAGAGGCAAAGGCGGTCCAGAGAACGCTCTCTGTACTTATAAAGGCGTCAGGCAACGAACTTGGGGTAAATGGGTGGCTGAAATCCGTGAACCCAACCGTGGTGCCCGTCTTTTGATCGGGACTTTCGACACTTCCCTTGAAGCCGCCATGGCTTACGATGCCGCCGCACGTAAACTATACGGCCCCGACGCCAAGCTCAATCTGCCTCAGTCTCAACCCCTAAACGTGAAAAATTCTGGTATGAGCTCGTCGACTATCCCATCTATAGCTCCACCAGTGTACAACAACTACGACGACCGCTCGATCATGTGTTTCGCCAAAGAGAACATCGAGAAGGATTCAGGGTTTGGGCAGGTTAACGAGGATGGAACCGATGGGTTCTGGGAGAATATGAATGTTATTGAAAAAGTAAAGAGAATAGAGAAATTACACAGGAAAGTATGTGCTTTCATATTAGCAAGTTCACCAATTTATAAGGGATACAATGCTCATCAGCTTTCCTCTAATTGCCTAACAATTCTAGCTAACCACTTAACAGATTAATTGCTTATTGAATACATGTGCATATTTCTTTAACAGCAATACACGTGCATGTTCTTTAACGCAGTCTAATAACACCATTCTAACATTCTCCCTACTTTCTCAACCTTCTTGATGAAAAGATGAACACTTGAATCGAAAGTGTGACGCCTCTTTCCGTTCAACTTGAATCGAAAGTGTCGATACTTCCTTTCGTTCTTCTAGAATCGAAAGTGCCGATGCTTCCTTCCGTTCACTTGAATCGAAAGTAACGATACTTCCTTCCGTTTGACGTATTCACCTTCACTTCTTTCTTTTTCATTCTCTTATACAAGGATCCTTGACATATATTTTTTATGGACACTTGGTTGTAAAGCTTTCAAGTCCGTTGTGCATGTGTCAATTGCCACATATAAGTTCATATGATTGTGTTGGATCTTCACCAACAAGCAAGGCAGCAAAACGAGCAAGCCATCCCCCGTCTTGTGCAGAAGGTCCCTGTGAATTGTAATGATTAACTACTATTTGACTTTGCTCAGAAGCTCGGGGACCCTCATTCCCTGAAGAAGAATGAGGTGTTGTTTTATCATCTATTTGACTTTGCTCAAAAGCTCGGGGACCCTCATTCCCTGAAGAAGAATGAGGTGTTGTTTTATCATCAGAATGAATCGAAGGAGTGCATGCCGTACTATTGGGTCTACTGGGCTTTCATTTTCGAAGTCCACTTGATGATACTACCTCAACATCGTTTCTCTTCCCCCCGGGGATATTAAGATTAGATCCATCTTCAACATGGAATTTAAGACCTGAATCTACACCCAACTTTGATGCAAGGACAATTGCAGCAGCAACCTTTCCTGCTGGATCAGGATCATATCTCTGAATAAGCTGTTGTGTAATGTAATAATTTGTCTTCTCCTTAAGTTCATCAATATTTGCTTGCCTTTTAGCACGAAGTCTTTCTAGAGTTTTCTTATCCCTCTCATCACACATCTTTCTGATGCTTGCAAATGTAGAATAAGCAATGGAAGAAAAGGAAGGCAAAAGGAACATTGGCAAAACCTCAAATGCCCTCATTTTCTAATCTAAATCCACGGATCTTGTTGTCATGATGGCATGTGGAAGGGCATATCCTTCATAGATTGACACAGTATGAGAAACACCATCACCAGAATCCAACACAATACCTGTAGTACAACCACTAGAATACAAAGAAAGAACAGCCTGGATGGCAACGTATATGGTAGGTACATTGAAGATCTCAAACATAATCTGCTACTCGAGACAGAAATGCAGTCACAATAGTGCAGGCAGCAAACATTCTGTTGACTATATTCCAACTCTTGGAGAAGCAGTATGAATTGAACTGGTCTGAGTGGCCCGCTCAGGCAATTCAACAAACAGATGATAAGCGCAAGAAAAAAGAAATATTCACACAGCAAGCATAAACCAATCTGAGCAACACAACATTAACGACGATGACAGAACAAGGCCAAGCAAACAGAAATATTGCTAGCTATGACGAACGGAGACCAGACGAAGCAAGAATGTAAAAGAACCTCATAACGGTACACCATACCAGAACTACTGAGCAACCACCTTCTACGCCAATAAACACGATGAACTAACAAGAACACCCTGAGTTACGCAGCAAGAAAACAAGAGGCTCCAGGAACTTATGGCGATTGATACCATATTGAAAAAGTAAAGAGAATAGAGAAATTACACAGGAAAGTATGTGATTTCATATCAGCAAGTACACCAATTTATAAGGGATACAATGCTCATCAGCTTTCCTCTAACTGCCTAACAATTCTAGCTAACCACTTAACAGACTAACTGCTTATTGAATACATGTGCATATTTCTTTAACAGCAATACACGTGCATGTTCTTTAACAGCAGTCTAACAACAGCAGTCTAACAAATGTGCACTTGCCTGATTTGGACGACGCCATGTGGGCTGAAACTGCTATGTCTTTGGATTTCCTAATGATGGTCGATGATCCAGGCAGTTTCGGTGGCAATAACCTTATGGAAGCGTCTGGCTGGGACGCTTTGCAATCCCCATGGTGCATGTAAAACGCTAAGCTAAGATAGACTCTTTACGTGAATGAAAGTCATAAAGAATAGTGCACATATATATTAATATATGTGTAAATATAAATACTAGAATATATGAAGTGTCCTGCAATATATATCAATATATATATATATTGAAAACTACATGGGGGCTTTTCGGGTTTATATAGTGGCTCTTTTAAGTTTTTTTACGGTAAACTATATTAAATTATTATTTTGTTTTAGTTTTACTAATTTTATTTTATTTTAAAATTATATTTAATATTTATTTTAAATTTTATTTTAATAACTCATTTTAAAATTTTACAATATAATAATGTCACACCATTATTGAAAAATAAAATAATATTATTAAAAAATAAAAAATAACATTATTAAGTACAAGCCCATTAAAAAAATATAAGAAATGAAGAACAAGGAGAAGAAAAACTCCCAACAAAGGGCTGCTTCCATTACTTTCAGACCACCACCATGGACCGCTCCAGCGGGCTAGCCTCTCTCGAGGACTAGTAGCTACTCTGGCGAAGCCCGACTATGGAGGACACCAAGAAAGGAAGAGAGGAGAACTGTGGAGAATAAGGTGTTGCAGTCACCTTAAAAGTGTCTCCTTGGAATCATTTCCTATTTATAGTGGGAAATTTCTATGGTTTTTTTTCCCTTTAAGTTCCCTCCAATACCCTTAAATTCATGCCCAAAACGTGATATCATGGACTTCTAAGAAAAACTTATCGCGGTGAAAAATTCCTCACTTCAACATCATTAGTTCCTTTGGCTCTCGCTCTAAAATTTTCATGGCAAATATTTCTCTCCTCGGTCATTTTCCATCACTTGCACAATCACAACCAACACACACCCTTCTCATCAACAGCGTTAGTTTTATCAAGAAAAACTAGTCGCGACAAACATTTCCACCACATGCAATGAAATGCCCTAAATGCAGCTAAAATGCTTATGAAAATAACTGTTACACAATCAATAAATTAAGTAAAAAGACCCAAAATATAGTTTTTTACGGAGTTATCAAGTGTTATAATATATGTTAGTGCTAAACAGGATAACATTATGGCATTGTTGAGCCATTCTCTTCAAAATCAATCCCAAATGAATAATGCGCAAGTACAATATTAGGTATATACCAAAGATTAGGATCTAGCAACTAAGAAAATGTTTGCTCAGTTATTTAATGAAGCGGAGGGAATGTTCCTGGTTTTCCCTTCAAAGATTTGAGAGGATTTGATGCCACTAGCCATGCCTGATGCTGAGCATAGTTCAGCGACTACTGATAGTGTGAAAGCTACCCAGTCGGGTGGTGATGAAGAGTTGATGGCTACGGATACAAAATCGTCTTACGCTAAGGATGAAATAGAGGGTGATAAGAATGAATACGAGAGTGAAAAAGATGTTGAGTCAGAAAATTCCACTGAAGTTCTTCCAGTAGCATCCAAAAATGATGATATTGTAGAGGAAACAGAAAATTTGAGCAGCCAACAACCAAAAGAGATAGCTCCTGAGGGACTCTCAGATCCGGAGTCTACTATTACTGGGGAGGGAGATGGCTGAAGTATACGTTATGTTGTTCTCTTATAGCGCTTCTTGTTAGACGAGGCACGTGCTGGAGTGGACTGCTCGGTCGTAGGAGTCTGTTGTGCTGGGACGGGTGGTGGACTAGGAATTTCTGTTGGGACTGATGGTGCTAATTAAACCGGGGACGGAATAAGATCATGCTGGCGTGAAATCTTCATCAATGAAGAAGTGGGGTAGAGTATCATCACTGCTTTCGGTGTTCGAGATGGATGAGGAACTCTTCTGTGTCGCCTTGGCCTTCTTTTGGTACGGGTGGGACATGGGTTGCCAATGGTGGCACATCGGTGGGCACTTCTGGTGGAACGTCTGGAGGGACGTAAGATGTCGAGGCATGGATTGTGTTGCCGCCTGCATTGTAGTTGAGGATAACACTGGGAAAGGTTGGCAGTCTGATAATTGTGGTCGGTAGCAACTCCTTGAAAAAGGCTTTGAGTTGCATGTCCCTTGCCTTGCCATACTTGAAGTAAATTTTCATGTGGTCCTTCAGGCATCTGATCTTTTCACGCGTTTCTCGCGTGTGCGTGACTACAGCGGCCATTCTAGCCGCAACAATCGATTTTGTGCCCCGCTCTAGACCTTCTTGCGGGTCATCATCATTGAAGCTCATCAACTCGGGGACCTTTTTCTTTGTAATGCCCTCCTTGGGTTTGATGACATCTTCGAATGGTTCCTCAGGAGCCTTTTTCTTCTTGCACAGTGCGGTTATAAGGTTTGGAAATAGTAGGTTACCCTGGTTCCATTTGGCACAATCATGGATCTACTCAAAGATGATTTCGTCCACGTCGATCTTTCTACCATATATGATCGAGTGCAATAGCATCAGTCTCTTGACGAGGACAGTGGTATTGTGGGACGTTGGCATCAGCTTGCCTTTGAGAAAGTGGTTTCATAATTTCACGTGCGGTTTTAGGGCTTGGCGATCAACTCGTTTCCTTATGGGGGCATTCCCTTTGAACTTGGCCCACCCAAAGCATAAATCCTGTAGAACTTTTTTGTACGTTTCTTGATCTGCTTTGGCCATAAATATCTTGTGTTGGTCATCCACTTTCCCCAACTTAAAGTATTTGTTGAGTGCAGAGGGGGAGAAGCGAATGAGTTTTCCTCGAACATATACTGTGTGGTTGGAGGGGTCCTCGAGATGGGCATAGAACTCCCACACCATTGTTGGTGCTGCGACATTAGGATTTCGAGCAAACTTTTCCCAGGTATGCTTCTTTATGACGTCCATCACCTCGGGTCCAAACAGCTCCTCGCCCTCGGCTGGAAAAACGAATCCATCTTCCAAATATACTTGGCATTGCTGAATGGTTTTGCTATTTAGAAACATTCAAAACTCTGTTTGGGGGCTGAGGCAGGTCT